GGGGTTGGAGGACGAGGAGGTTGGGGGCTATTCAAGGGGGTGGGGAGGAGGGGGTGAGCAGGCGGGCCACACATAATAGCAGCGAAGCGGGGGCTGCGGCGCGTCGGTCGCGCGCCCGGGCGCGCCGCGTGGCCGCCGGCGCGTGATCCCTGCTCGTTGAGGTCGCGTTCGTGGTTCAATGTCTACTGAAAATCGAGAAACCCCCTCCATCACACACACTCACACACACTCACCTGCAGCAGGAATGGCATGGCCTGCTGCACCAGCTGCACCAGGCTGTCCGCCGACGGCCCCTCCACGATCGACCCAAACGCAAACGTCGACGCCTCGCGCCACCGCCAGTCGTCGGGGCCGCCAGCCTTGGCGATGTGGGTCGTCACAAATGGCATGACCTGTGGCGATCGCGGCGTGTCGAGGTGGAGCGCCGGGACGCGCTGAGTGCATGGCACGCCGGAACAGATTGATGTGACTGGATCCTTTCACAGTGAGAGGGCCCTGCGACGGCCTCGCATAACACAAGCCACAGGGTTGCGCCTGCCGCCGCAGCAACGGGAGGTCATCGGGGCCAGGCCGCCCCCTTCCCTCCTGTCTCCCTCCCCGCCGCGCTTCCAGCGCAACCCCGGGCGTGCGAATCTTCCTAGCCGGACGAGATCTGGCCAAGCCGCCGGGGGGGCAAAAACAGGGAAGTGTGTCCTCTGACAGGCAGTCCCTCGGAGCGCACCACCGGCACGACGTCGTTGCCCGCGACGCGCGCGACGAGGCCGAGGCACGTGCCCGCGCTCATGGCGAGGTTCCAGGTGCTCTCGTCCTGCTCCTGGCCCTCCTCCTGCTTGACTAGCTGCTCCAGCAGCACCGGCACCAGGTGGGGCGTCGCGGCCTTGATGAAGTTGTGGCTCTGCTGAGCGGCCGGGGCGCGCGGCGGGCGCGAGGGGGCAAAGGCGGGGTCAGCGAATGAGGGCGAGGGGCCTGAGGTGTGTGTGCGTGTGTGTTTGTGTGTGTGTGTGTGTGTGTGTGTGTGTGTGTGTGTGTTCCGTTGCGCGCTTGCCTGCCAATTGTGCGGCTGCTAGGGCGGCCGCCGAATGCCTTGGGGCCGCGCGCTGCTCTCTCCCACCTCCTGTCCCATCCGCTCAGCAGCCCTCCGCCAACCCGCACCACGCGGACGCGTGGCCCCTCCGGTCCCCCACTGCTGCCGCTTCCCCGCTCATCCACGCCTCAAGGAGCGCAAGCGCCTCCTCTAAGTCGCGCGCACACACATGTACACACGTGAACCATCTCATTCTGCTGCTCGTCCCAACAGATCCGTGCTCCTTCATTCATTGATCTCAGACCAAAACGCGCACATGCGCACGCATGTACACCACTCCTGTGCGGAAAAGGTACATACATGCTCCCTCACGCACACACTCACACACACACACACACACACGCACGCCCGTGTGCGCGCGCACCTCCTCCGTGTCCTCGCCCTCCTCCTCCAGCAGCTCCAGCTCGTAGTCGCACAGCGTGGACCAGAACTCAACAGCCTGCAGCGCAACGTCCTCCTCGTCCTCGCGGATGGCCTTCACCGTCAAGTTGAAGATCTCCTGCGGTATTGATGTATTTGAGAGTAAGAGAGGGCGGCAGCAGGGTCAAAACAGAGCGCTGGGGCGGGTGGCAGGACTCGCGAGCCGGGCGGCTGTGCAGCAGGCGCAGGGCAGATCTAGGGGGCTCTGGGATGCTGAGGCGAGGGGGGACGGCTGCCGGGTGGCACGTGCGTGGGCGCTCGAATAGCCCGGCAGCGCTGGCGCGCAGCAGCACAGCGCCGCACCTGCATGTAGGGCGGCAGCCTGACGTAGTAATTGGCGGCGATCTCGTGGAGGCACGCGAAAGACTGCACGCGGATGCGCGCGTCGCCGGCCACGGTGCCCTGGCACACAACCTGGGGGTTTGCAAGAGCAGGCGGGCATGCTAGTGTTTGGGGCCGCCGGCAAGACCAGCTCGCAGCTCGGGTGCGGCGTGAAGAAGGGAGTGTTGTGTACACCCCATTTACACATCCACCTAAGCAGCAACATTGCTCGTCCGCGGCTAAAAATCTGTGCTCAACCGCCCCCGCCCCTCAGTGTTATCCCGGCCCCTCGACCCCAACCGCGCCCGTGCCCACGCGCGTGCTCCATTTGCGCACCTGCATGATGTAGTTGCGCTCGCTCTCATTGCCAAAGTTGTGGTCCGCAAACTCGATCGCGTTCTGCAGCGCCTCCACCGCCGCCAGCCGCGTCTCGACGCTCGGCTCCTCCGGCCGCATGCCCGACACCACCGCAGTGAGCACCATGTTGATCTGCTCCGCGCTGAGCACGTCGTCCTTCAGCGACCCCATCTCCTCGCACACATACCCGAGCGCCTGCAGCGTCGCCTGCCGAACGCCGTGGTCCGGCGGCGACGCGCTCATATTGGCCATGAGCGCCGGCACGAGCTCGCCCCAGCCGCCGCGCGGCAGCTCGATGGCCGCGACCTTGGCGACCACCAGCGCCACTGTGCCCCTGACCTCCTGCGGCTCCATCGCGAGCGCCTGCAGCAGCGCGCCGCGGATGCTCGCTCGCAGCGGCGGCTCGACGGCCTCCCAGCGCGAAACGAGCGCCGCCTTGCGGGCGTCGTCTTTGGCATCGAGGTTGTTCTTGAGGACGATGCCGGCCAGCCGCCGGCTCTCCGGCGGCTTCTCTGCGTTGGCCAGCTCATAGGCGAGGCTGCCCAGGAAGCCGGCGTAGTTCTGCTCCTGGAAGTATTGGATCTGCTGCTCCGCTTGGCCGCGCACCCCTGGGTCTGGGTCCTGCGCGTGCAGCAGCAGCCGCGTGACCTCGATCGAGGGGGCCCCTGCGGCGGCCATGGTGGGCGTGGGGCTGCTCGCTGCTGGCTGCCCGGCGCCCGGTGGGGGGGGGGGGGCGTCCGGAAGGGTGGGGAAACCGGGGGCAGCTGTCACTGACGGCCAAGTTTCGCGCCTGGCAGCAGAGCCGTGCCGACCACGCCCTCTGCGAAGCGGCGATGAAGGGTTGTGTCTGAGTGCCAATTTCTTGTGTAGGGATTTGCATGCACAATAGCCCAGCTCAAGGGCACAAGCAACCGCTGGCTGTGAACTGTCGCACTGCTGCTTCCTGGAGCACCCTGCACACCGGGTTGCAAAGACGGCAGCCGCGCAACAGCGATCCACGCGCCTCCCACTAAAGCGCTACACACTAAGGGCACATTATACACACAAACAACCGTTCAGCAGGCAAACATGTGTGCTGACGCGCGGTTTGCGAGCGCGGCGGGTGGCAGCCTTCAGGACCCGCAGCTGGAGGCACAAGGCCTTTGAAGCGCGGTTGAACAAAAATGTTATAACGATCACAATGCTCTCTGACGAGGAAGGTCCCACGCTGGCGCCTCGCCGACATCTTTCAGCACCGTGATCGCGCGCCCTCTCTTCATATTCGGATCTCACCTTTGTGTTGAAATTTGTTGTCTGTATCTGCCAACCAGCTCCCGCTGTTAAGTTACTCCCAGATCAGCGCTGGCTTACACAGCTGTCAAGGGCGGCTGCTCTAGTGTTCAGCGTTTGCAAAGCGGCCTGATACCAGGCGCAAGAGGCCCCGAGAGCAGCATACGCAGCACAACGCCCCTGCTGTAAATTTGGAATTGCAACGGGCTTTCAAGCGGCGAGCGCGAGCTGGAGTGGGAACGCCCAGCCTCAGGCGAGGCCTCCTACTTGGACTCAGTAAGCATTGGCTTCCCTGCACACAGTGACAGCAGGTGCACACGGCCGCCACTGGTGTCAGAAGGCTCATTGCAAGGGACTCATACGAGTGTGTAGTGCACACAATCATTGCTCCCGGATGCGATGCAGCTCGTTGCAGCATTAGCCAGGGGGCTGAAATCATCTGCACATGCCATAGAATGTGACGAAAACTGTACTTTTCACTTGTGTTCCCATGCTGTGGTCGTGACTGTTGGCAAGTGATCCTGTTTGACCATGGCTTGACCAGCAAATGCTGACCGGACCTGGTTGCTGTTGCCGCCACAAAAACAACCCTTGCTGTTGCTTTGTGCCATTTCAAGCCTCCATGGCCCCCTGCCTCCAGGGCTGCTTCATGGACGCTGCCGTCCAGTGCTCGTCTGGCGTCACTGCATTGCTGCACCACTGCGCAAGCTCAGCTGTGTTGGCAGGGCAGTCTCCTGCAAGCAAAGCGCACCCGGTTGAGACGAGGAATTATAGAAAGAACCTCTGGCTTGTGGTGCAACGTGTTTCTTCAGCCAGCCGCGTGCAATGCTCGCTGGCTCAGCGCGCCATCTTCGACTCTCAGATCGGGGCCGCTAGGATTTGGGGGCTTGTTGAGCCAGGCAGAGGCTTATCGTGTCTCGCATTCATCCGCGTTGCCTGACATACATACTGGGGGCTGGGGTTGGCACAAGGTGGGCTTTGTCACCCCGCTGCAAACGCACGCTGCGGCTCTTGCAGCTGCCCTTTGATATGGTAACACTATCGCGCACTCTCCTCGCGTGCGGTGTAGACATGCTGCATCCCCTCTGCCATGCGTGCAGGACCGATGACTGCGACTGCAGTCGTCGGGCGGCCCGGCCACGGGCGCTGGAGCAAGACCGTGTACGCCCTTGTTACCTATGCGCTGCTGGCGCACCTGCTCATTGGATTGCTCAGGCCCCAGGAGCCCGATGGCAGCGATGTTAGGCCCGGACAGCAGGACCTCGTCGCACCCATGGCGGGTGCGATGCTGTGGAGCGTGCTCAGGGTCCGCTGTGGCGCCGCACGCTTTGCATCACGACGCCGCCTCTTTGGTGCTTGACTGAGCTGCGCCAGAGTACACGCAAACAGCATCGCACACCAGTATGCGCCAAACTGCACCCATCGCGCAACGTGTACTGCACGCTGCCGTGTCCATCCCCTGAGTAGCCCTGGCCGGCGCATACCCCCTGGAGGAGCATTTCGTGACCACAGCGGACGGATACATCCTCCGCATGTTCCGCATCCCACACGGACTCCCCAACGGCGCTGCAAGCTCGGCTGCCGCAATGAGCCTGGTTGCCCGTCCGCCGGCCGACGCAGCGTGCGCAGCCAGCGCAGCGGAAAACGCCACCGTCACCGGCGGTGTCACCTGCCCGGCCGACGTCCGGCAGGCGCGCCACCACTGCCGGCAGACGCACAAGCGGGACGGCTCGCGCGTGGGCCTGGCGCCGCGGCCTGTGGCTTTCATGCAGCACGCGTTGATGGACTCCAGCGCGGGCTGGCTGCTGCTGGGCCCTGGGCGTGCGCTGGCCTTGCAGCTGGCGGATGCAGGTTTTGACGTGTGGCTGGCCAACTCAAGGGGTGAGCACAGGTTGTGAAGGCAATTTTGGTGCTAGGATAGCTACGTGTGCGGCAGGGCTGTGGATGGTCAAGTTGTCATCACAACGGAGGGGATATTTCAGGGTCTTGCATCATGGCTGATGTGCTCGCGACCTTCTGATGGGGATTTGCACGAACACCCCCATCCGCGCGTTTCGTGCACGCGCAAAACCCCAGGCAACCGCTACAGCCGCAACCACACCTCATTGGACCCTGACGTTGACGCGGCCTTCTGGCGATTCACTTGGTCTGACATGGCGGATTACGACGTGCCGGCCATGGTCGGACACGTGGCAGACGTCACGGGGCAGCAGCGCGTCGTGTACTTTGGGTACTCGCAGGTGCAGTGGGGGCGGCGGTGTGACGCACGTGTGCGTGCATAGGTGCATGCGTGGGTGGGTGAGTGGGTGGGTGGATGGGTGCGTGGGTGGGCGGATTGGTGGGTGGATGTGTGGGCTGATGGATGGGTGTGTGAGTGTTTGCGTGTGCGTGTGTTAGTTTTGTCTGATGGGTGCATGCTTGTATGGGGTGTTTAGTGCGGGCACTAGAAAAAATGCTCAAAGGGTATTGAGGCTTGCTCGCAAGCGTGGGTCAGGCGTCATGGCAGACGCACCAAGCACGCCCGCTCCCTGCTCGTTTCCGCAGGGCTCGATGATCGGCCTGGCCGCCCTGGCCAGCCAGCCGGCCCTCGCGCGCCGCATCTCGCTGGCCGTCCTGATGGCGCCGGTCGCGTTCACGCGCCACATGACGAGCCTGCCCTTCGTGCTCTCTGTCAAGGCGCGGCTCGACGAGCGCCTCCTAGCCGCAGGCTGGGGCGAGTGGGGCGCGTACAGCCCGCGCTTCTCGGCGCGCTCGATGCGCGGCTGCCGCCTGCTGCCGGGCCTGTGCGAGCGGTACCTGACAAGCCTGTGCGGGGCCAACCCGCGCGGGAACCTGGCGCCAGAAATTATTGAGCTGGTGATGGGGCACCTGCCGGTGGGGACGAGCGTGATGAACATGGCACTGTGGTCGCAGGTGAGTAGGCGCCCATGGGGAGCAAGAGGGCGCCCACCCTTATCGGCTGTATTTGTTTTGTGCAGCCCACACTTGTGCGAGGGGCCGCAAACCAATGTGCCGTGTGAGTCTGAGTCCGTGGGTGCGGCGCGGTCTTAGCTGTGCCCTCTGGTGACCCGAAAAGCCTTGAGAACCGCATGCACCCATATCCCTGCCCCCACAACTCCCTGCCCCCCTCCATTGCCTCCTGGCGCCCCGCACCTCCAGGCCGTTCGACGCGGCAGCGCCTCGGAGCTGCTGCGCTACGATTTTGGCTCAGACTGCTCGCGCGATGGTGCCTGCAACCGCCTCGTCTATGGGGCGGACCGACCGCCTGGGTACAACCTCAGCGCCATCACCACACCACTCGCGCTGTTCACAGGTGAGGGGCGCTGTTGCACCAGAAATTGCAGCTTGAACCGTGGCTGCACGCAGCAACCCAGCACCTCTCAGTGGCCTGCATGTTGTGCTGCCCACTATCCTGCATTTCAATCGGGGCATGCGATGCAGCAACCAGCATATATCACCACGCCTGCCCAACGCTGCCGCCCCGCCGCATCCCCGGTGACCGCTGTGCGAAGGCGACCGCGACGCGATCTCGCCGCCTGCTGACGTGGCGCTGCTCAAGGCCGCCCTGGCGCCCGGCGTGCTGGCGCACCACCACGCTGAGCCTGATTACGGCCACCTGGATTACGAGCTGGGCATCGACACGCCGGCGCGCATCTACCCAGGCGTTGTCAGCCTCGCGCGCACCGCGGCGGCCGCGGCCGGGGATATTTCGGCGCTGAAGGCGCCTGCGGTGTGAGCCGCATGGAGTGCGCACGGCTGCTTGCCGTGCGGAGCCCTTGGCTGGACGGGCGGCCAGGGCCGGCAAGCGTTGCCGTCTTTTGTGGTGCCGCCACTGCCCTGCCAGCACCCAAAACGATGTCACAACCGGGCCAGTGCCCAATTTTATTGCACGGATGACCCTCCAGGTCGTATACATGTTGGAGCACCTCCCTGGGCACCTCTGTCACATGCACAGCACAGCACCCCCAGGTGCTGCGGCGCTCGCCATCTGCAGGAACTGGTTCAGGGCGGCCACAACGGCCGCTGAGATGTCCAATTTTGGAACTAGGACAACTCTGATATACATTTTGGGCATGAGCGCCACGCATGCGCACGATTAGCCCGCCTTGCGCACCTGATGCTATGTCACGGACTTGCCCGCCGAGCGTGGTGAGGAAGACATTGCGTGTGCCTTTTCCGTCATCAGAAGATCGCTAGGCTGCCATGTCACTACCTGCTTTGAACTGCTTGCCCATCACATCGCCTTGAGCTGCTGTTTCTCCTTGGGCGGTACGCCCAAATTTTGACCCACGCTCCTGAGACCCTGACTCTGAAGCTATGCGTAGCAAACAATATAAACACCTCATGATTTGTCATATCTTATCATACCTACTGACACATACACGCGCCTGACTCGCGTAGCCCTCCCTTCTACAGCCAGAAGGCACCCTGAGGTCGGCTGACAACGGGATGTGCTGCGCTTATGTAGCACCATGGCCAGCACACCCTGCTTATGGTCATATTCTCTAAAGCCCTAGCAAACTTTTCACGGAGCTCCATTCGTAGCAGCTGCTATCGTGCGCATGCTCTGCCTGTACCTGTCACTGCCTTGCTCACTGAGCGGCTGCTGTGCAGTTGCTGTGAGCAGGGCGGGTCCTCTTGTACCCTCTGAGCTTCTTGCATGTAAACCATGTGTCCTGTTACCACCTGACGTGCGCAATGTGCTGCATGCAATTGTGTCCGCGTCACCTGACGGGGGGCCTCTGTAGGCGAGGGGTGTGCCATGGGGCGGGGCACTAGACTGGTGACACAAGCGTCACCCCTAGAGAACAGACAGCCTGCATGTAGACTCCGTTGGATGTCTCAAACACCTCGTCTGAATTCTACTTATACGGTTCACCGTGCTCACACCCAAGGTCTGCACGACGAGCAAAGCCCAACACAGCAGATCGCCATGCACTTGTGGCGCTGATTTTAGCCATGTGGTCGGGGGGATTCGATCTCTCGGACCTGGGGAAGCTGGGGGCTACCCTAGGAGAGGGCCTGCAGAAAGCCCGGGAGGCCGTCGATAGTCCCTGGCTTGGCGAGGTTGTATCGAAGGCAAAAGCCGAGGCGGAGAGATTGGACCGTGCCCTGAACCTTGACGGCACGGGAGGTGACGGTGGCACCAAGATCGTTGAGCCAGGTGAGGTCGTGCAGCGTCAAACGGGACGCCAATGGAAGGAAGAGTGCAACCTGTACTTATGTGAATGCTTGGTTTTCTCAACTTTCGTCCTTCTCTGCACCACCGTGCCGCTTTCCGTCCGAACATCGCAGCAGCAGCGAGTGCATCAACTCAGCATGTGCAGGTGAGGCGCACCGACCAGACCTGATCCTCACGCATGTCCTGCTGGGCCTTTGTTTTCATCGCCACATATGTGAGTCTCAGGGGCGGCGGCGCCACTCATTACACACTGTGATCCCCGTCCCTGCGAATGGGCGATGCAGGGGGTCTCCGGCACTACGGATGCACTGGCGTCTGCCACTGACGCGCTGTCGACCGGCTGGGCTGCCATGTTCAGCTCGTCACCCATGCCCGAGCAGCAGCAGCAGCAGCAGCAGCAGCCGCAGCCGCAGCAGCCATTGGCACCAGCCTCTGTATTGGCCGCCTCTGACGCATCAGCGGGCAGCATCGACCCCCTTGGCAGCGGCGCAGGCGAAAGTGGCTCGGCCGCCCCTGGAAAGAAACTGGTCAAGAAAAAGCTTGTGAGGAAGATCATCAGGAAGCCGTCCGACATGGCGGATGGCTCAGCTGCTGCAGGTGGCCTTGGCAGCCCGGCAGAGAGCATCGGGCTCTCATCCCCGCATCGGGACGCTCCGCTACCGCCGGCGCCATTGGCAGCCAGCAAACAGCAGCAGCAGCAGCAGGAGCAGGAGCAGGAGCAGCAGAAGGCGCAGCAGCCGATGGACGCGGAGATTTTCAACAGCAAGTTTCTCAGCAAAGACTACGCTTTGGGTGACACTGCTGCCGTGGAAATCGCTGCCGCCAGCATGGCCAGAAGTGGCACAGTAGCACGCGAAGCAGCAGGGGATAGATCAGGAGCAGCCGCGACCGCAACAGAGGTGTTGGATGGTGCTAGCCCCGCGAAGGGCGCCAACGGCCTGCCGCAGCAGCAAGAGGCTCTGACACTGCCACCACAGGCAGGCGAGCAGCAACAGCAGCAGCACCAGCAAGCGGGGCTGGGTGCATCCGAGGAGATGCAGCATCAGAGCGACGAGCAGCAGCTTGATCCCGAGCTGTTTGTTGGGCGTCACGCAGAGCCAGGGCAGCCAGCACGGCAACTAAAGCTTGGAGCAACACGGCACGCCGGAGCGGGGCGCGACGGCGAGGCGCTGCCTTCAGGCTTGGAAGCGGCAGACGCGCTAGCTGGGGGCATCAACCGGGTCCATGCGGAACCCGCTGGCTTGCCGGCCAGCCTGTTTGCGATCGCAGATGCGCCGCAGGCAAGGATCATGCCAGCTGATGGCACGGCTGGTGCGGGGCCGCCCCCACCGCCGGAGCAGCAGGAGGAGCTGCAGGAGCAGGAGCAGCAGCAGCAGCAGCTTCCCGTTGCAGCAGGGCCTGGTGAGGTTGCGGCTGGCTCTTCGCATGACGGCCACCAGCTGGGGGAGCGACAGCAAACGCCAGCTAAGCAGCAGCCAGAGGGGTTGCACCATCAGTGTATGCAGGATCAGCGCAAGCAGCAGCATCAGCAGGCGCGGCAGCAGCAGCATCAGCAGCCCACTGACGAGCAAGCAGTCAGTGACTGGCATGGATTGGCTGAGGGGTCGGGCAGCAGCCAAGCGGTTGCATCTGCTGCGCAGGAGTCACCTGGCTTTGCTCCGGCGGCAGCGGCGGCGCTTGAGAGATTGCATGTGGAGTCAGGCAATCTGCAGCACGGCTTGCAGGCGCAGGGACAGCAGCCATGCGGGCCCCCGCTGGGACAGCAGCAACACCAGCAGCGCGAGGAGCAGCAGTCAGGCTCTCCGCGACAGCAGCAGCAGCAGCAGCAGCGCCAGCGCCCGGCGTCGGACCCCAGCGGCCTCCGCCAGGCGGTCGAGGCGCGCGAGGGGCAGCTGGTGCGCCAGGCCGCGCAGCTAGCCGCGCAGCAGCTGGAGGTGGAGCAGCTGCGCCATGAGAGGGACGAACTGTCCGCCAGGCTGGCCGCGCAGGAGGAGGTGTGTGCGCCACGAGGGTATGAACACAGGAAGTTTGGTGACCAGGATTTGCAGCAGCAGCGGCGGCGGCGCGGACGTGTCGTGTGTTGACGCTCTATTGCTGTAGTATCACTGTTTCACATCTCTGAGTTGACAGCACCAATTAGTCCAATCGCAAAAACCGCCCACCTGCAGCCACGCGTGGCCTTCCATGCCTCGCCACGGCCTGCTCCTCACATGCCTCAATCGCGCACGGGCCCTCATCTGCCCCCCTCTCAACCGCCCGGCGCCATTGCCCCGCGGCGGCCGCAGATTGTCGTCCAGCTCAGCCGCAAGAACGAGCAGCTGGTGCTGCGCAGCGCCAAGGTGTCAGAAGAGGAGATGGCGGCGGTGCAGGCCGAGTTCCAGGCGCGCATCGCCGCGCTCGAGAAGAAGGTGCGGCGGGGGCGCAGGCCCTGCGGGACGGGGCTCTGCGGCGCGTTGGCGCTGGGGGTCGTGGCACCAGCGCCAGCTAGCGGCGGTGCGAGCCGGCCGCTCAGCCGCACGCGTAAGCGGCGTGCCCTCTCAACACGCCGTCCAAGCGCCTGGTGCCCCATTCTGCACGTATGTTTGCCCAGTCTCCACACCCACTTGTACATGCGCCCACACTTCGTGATACGGTCATCAGGCGAGCATGCTGACTAAGGAGCGGGACGCCTTGAAGCAGAGCGGCCGCGCCAGCAGCGCCAGTGAGGCCGCCCTCAAGGCCAAGGACGACCTGGCGCAGGAGGTGGGGCGCCGCCTGTTGGTTCCGGGGTTTGAGGTTTGAGGTGCCGGGTGTCCACGCCGGGGGAGTGGCGCGCCTCGATTGTTCCAGGGTGTGCAGTCGAACGTGCCGGGTGTCCGTGCAGGAGGTGGGGCGCCTCACTTTGTTCCAGGGTTCCGGTCCGAGGGTGTGGGGTGGTCGCTTCCTGTCGCCCTTCGAGGGTGGTTCCTAAGAATTTGAGTCTGAGAGTGGCCTGGTTCGGTTGCCAAACTGTGGTACCTTGTCTAGTTTTGGGAATCAGCAAGGTGGGTCGTGTGGCATGTCAGGTGTGCGGACGGAGGGCTCGCGGTGGACTGGAGAAGGCTGCCCGCCCCCGTCTCCCCCCCCCTGCACACTCACACACACAAACACACACATATACACACACACACACACACACAATCCACCCGCAAGCGACCATACCCGACACTCCTGACGCGCGCCTGCATGCTGTATCCAACCCCGTGCCACGCGCAGCTGATGGCGGAGGGCGAGAAGCTGAGCAAGCGGGTGCTGGATCTAGAGGGCCAGGTCAAGAGGGCCAGGGCACACGTGAGCCTCGCCTACCGTGACGCGCAAGCCGTTTGGCCACGCGCCGCCACGGCCTGGTCCTGCAGCGCCGCACGCGGACACGGGCGAGCTTGCTGCCACACTAGCGCTGCTGCGTCGGGCGGCCGCATCGGGTGCACATGCAAGCGTGTGTCCTGCGGTCTGAATACACGGACTTTCAGCAGGCCTTGTTTTGGCAATGCATGAGAATCCTATAACCTCGATACCTCAAACCCTGAGTTTTGTTTGTCATGCCATGCGCACTCCTCAGCTGCGGGAGGAGTCTGCTGAGAAGGAGAAGCTGGCCGCGCAGCTGGCGGCGGAGCAGGCAGAGTGCGAGGCGCAGCGGCGCGCGCGCGCGGCGGCGGAGCGCGACCTGGCGGCTGCGATGGAGGCCGCGCGGCAGGTGGGCCGCTTTGGGGGTGGTGCTGCGCGGGCTTCTGTGCTGTGTCACAAGACACAATGGTGGAATTGGCTGTCCACAAGGCCTGGCTGCATCGAGTTTTGCAGGCCGACGCGGTGGGGTCTGGAGTGATCGGCATTTGATGCGCGCCCCAATCCCCGCCGACTTCACAGGAGCTGGAAGCTGCCCAGAAGCAGGCTGAGGCGGATCTGCAGAAGGCGCGGTCGGAGCAGGTGGGGCGGCCCGCCTGCCCACGGCTCTGCGCCGGCCCGCGCGCCTGCATCTTGTCCTCTGTGGCATGCGCTCACCAGGGATCAGATGGCTGGGCTGCGCTTCCGGTGGCATGGTTTTCAGGGCCGGCGGCGGTCCTCTTGCCATGAAGTTGTGCGCCCTTCAAGGCTCCAACGTCCCTGGCCACCCCTCATTTCAAGAACCAAAAAACAGATCTCCTTCCTCCCCCTGCGATGGACAGATGGAGGCCGAGGCACTCGCCAGGGAGGCGGCCCAGAAGGGCGCCGCCAAGCGCGCCCAGCAGGCGGAGGCGCATGCGGCGGCGCTGGTGGAGACCGTGCAGGTGACCCGCCGCGTCTGCCGGGCGGCTCCTCTTTGCGTGGATGCGGTTGTCCGGCGCTGGGGCAGGCCCGCAGGCGGGCACCGCCTGCGGCCTGGGATGAGCCGACATGCCTGCCACCTGGGGACGCAGCCCTCACTGCATGCCTGCCTCCCCTGCCCGCACCCAGCACAGGGCCGCGCCAGGCTGGCTGGTCCTCTCTAGCCGCAGGCCGGCGCCCTCTGCAGCCACCAACCGCGTGCTGTCGCGCATGATGTCGCATGATGTCACCTGACGTCACCGCTTCCCCCCCTGACCCTCAACTCCAGGAGCTGCGTGAGGCGCTGGAGCGCCAGAGGGCGGCGGCAAACCTGCGGGAGGAGATGATGAAGCAGGTGGGGGTGGCTGGGGGTGGCTGGGGGTGGCTGGTGGGTGGGTGCGGGTGGGTTGGGTCCGGTCAAAGCGGGTCGAAGGGGCTCCATGGCGGGTGCGCTGCCCGCTGCTCGCCGTCCATTGTTGTTTACAAATATGAAAGCGTTGTTCCATTTTCCAGGGGGGTATTTTTGTGGTGTTTGGCAGGAGAGCCCGCCCTCGCTGGGCACGAATCTGCAGCGGCGGCGCTACCAGCGGCACAAACCGCCGCGGCAACCCCTCCCCCCCCCTCCCAGGACTTGGCCGACATGGAGCGCCGCTGCCAGGCGGCAGAAGAGCGCCACCACGACCTGAGCGCGAAGCTGCCGGGTGAGGCGCCGACCTCGCACCTGCCCATTCATGCCGCCCCTGCCTGTGCCCTTGCACTGCGCCCGCCCCCAGCAACCATGCCGCCCTCATGTCACGTGATGTCCTCGGCTCGGGCGGCTCATCCAGCTCTCAGTTCAAGACTCCGCGTGCA